ATAACGTTGATGTTTCACAGGAAGATGTTATGGTGGAGGAGACAAATTTCAACTTGATGAGTCTTAGGCCTACCGATGAGAAAGAAATCTTGAAGATTATTGAATCAACATGTAGTAAACCTAGTTCTGGTATAGATGACATTCCATGTACTATTGTGAAGTCTTGTGCTCACTTGGTGGCTAAACCCCTCATGACAATAATAAATAAATCTTTCAAGGAAGGGAAATTCCCAGACAGAATCAAAACTTCCAAAATAATACCGATTCACAAAAAGAACGGGAAAAATGTAATTAGTAATTATAGACCAGTTGCGGTTCAGTCAGTCTTTTCTAAAATATTTGAAGTGGCCTTTCTAAATAGACTACTGCCTTACCTTGAACAAAACAAAATCTTACTGCAAAATCAATTTGGATTCCGGAAAAAGAAATCTACCACAGATGCTATATTCTCATTATTGACCTCAGTTCATGACAGGATTGATGGCATGGAAGATGTGTATGCTTTGTTTTACGACATGACTAAAGCATTTGATTGCATTAATCATAGCCTACTAAAAAATAAATTGTCAAAGTTTGGTATTAAGAACCAACCATTAGATTGGATCATGTCATTTCTAAGGGACAGGTCACAAGTGGTAGTAGTCAAACACCTTGGTGAGGATCATGTAATAAGAGGATACAAGTCAGAGATACAACATGATGTGAATACCGGAGTTCCGCAGGGTTCTAACTTGGGTCCTGTTATTTTCTTACTATTTGTTAATGATCTACCAGAAGTTGTGCAGCAGGGTGAGGTATGGCTTTATGCTGATGACGTCTGTCATATGGTGTCCGACTCAAATACATATGAATCAATTAAGAAGACTCAATCCGGTGTAAATAGCGTGGCTAATTGGTGCCATAATAATAATTTGGTATTAAATCAAGGAAAAACTGGATTTCTACATTTTTATAACAGGAAAAAACCAGATTACAGCCCTTTGATTAAAATGGACCAAGTTAATATCAAACCTCAAAATAGTTTTAAATATCTCGGCATTAACATTTGCGATAATCTGAGATGGAATGACCATATTGACAATGTAATAGAGAGACTGACCGTGGTCTGCTGCCTGGCTCGTAGACTGAGAAATGTGGTCGAATTAGAGGTTCTGATGAAGATTTACTATGGGTGTTTCCATAGCATTTTAAGTTATGGAGTTGCATTTTGGGGAGGATGTAGTGAGGCCAACAGAGTTTTTCTGTTGCAAAAAAGAATTATAAGAATTATATGCAAGGTTCATTACCTGGAGCATTGTAAGCCTTTATTCCGAGATCTAAAAATATTGACTCTTTCATCTGTCGTAATTCTGGAATCTTCCTTGCTGGTTTTGAAATTTCCTGAAATATTTAAGAGGAACGAAGAAGTTCATAGTTACAACACAAGAGGCAAACACAACGTGCACCTTAAAAGCCATAGAACAACTTTGATCCAATCAGGAGTTCAAGGACTGGCCAGTAAAGTTTTTAATAGGTTACCGGTTGAATTAAGAAGTTGCTCTGTACCAACCGAATTCAAGAAAAAATTGAAGAATTATTTAATGGAAAAGGCCTATTACTCTATTGATGAATACCTGAGTGATGAAGATATTATATAGGCCTACTACTCTATATAAACCAAAATGACGACCACGGCTGAAATGCTACAAGTGGGATACCTTCAAGTATGCAAGTAAGTAAGTAAGTAAGTATCCCCAGTCAATCTTAAAACAACGCGTTTTAATTCCCTAGATTTGTGGATAAATATTAACTTTGCTTTGAGGTTGCATTTAATGTTAAACAGATGGTTTATTTAATTTATCTATATATTAAAATTCAATCTGTGTTTGTTGTATGTTTGTCGTGGTATTTGTAACAATTATGTAGTTAATAATACAAATATATAATGTTAATTTCTCATCGAAGATATATCCTATTTGTAAAACTTCCCAATATGTTATGTTTACTCCCCATGAGAACCGTGAATAAATTATTGAAAAGAACAGAGTTTGTCATTGTTGTACCTTTATAAAAAATCTAATATATAAAATTCTCGTGTCACAGTGTTTGTCTGCAAACTCCTCCGGAACGACTTCACCGATCGTTATGAAATTTGGTGTGTAAATTCTGTAGGTATGCGAATCGGACGTAAACTATAACCCGTTTCGAAATTCTTAAAAGGGCTCCGCCCCAGTGGCTCTGGAGTTTCCCATGTTAACCTTATGAGAAATGGAATTAATGAATCTTAACAGCTGTTTCAATTAAACAAGTTGGTTCTGTTCTATGATGTTCAATAGCATTAAAGTTACAAGGATTACCAACAGGGTGCAGCACTATTATTTCTTTTACATTTATGACAACAGCTAATTTGCAACCAAAAGGAGAGTGAGCGTAGCGAACGAACTTCAACCTTGAGGCGAGTTAGCGTAGCGAACGAGCTAACCTGAAGGCAAGTGAGCGCAGCGAACGAGCTCCAACCTAAAGGTGAGTGAGCGTAGCGAACGAGCTCCAACCCAAAGGTGAGTGAGCGTAGCGAACGAACTTCAACCTGGAGGCGAGTTAGCGTAGCGAACGAGCTAACCTGAAGGCAAGTGAGCGCAGCGAACGAGCTCCAACCTAAAAGGTGAGTGAGCGTAGCGAACGAGCTCCAACCCAAAGGTGAGTGAGCGTAGCGAACGAACTTCAACCAACGCAAGATTGAGCGATGCGAACGAGATCATCTTGAAAATTAAACGTAACGGTACTTTCTTTCCATCGGTCTGTCTTAGGGGAAACCTATAACTTAGGCGATACGAAGTTCGCCGGGTCAGCTAGTTATATTATATTTTTAAATATTTATATCTTATCTTATCTTACTATCTTACTAATATTATAAATGTGAAAGTTTGTGTGTTTGTTTGTTTATTTGTTTGTTTGTTTGTTTGTTTGTTTGTTTGAAGTTCAATCACGCATTAACTACTGGACGGATTGGGCTGAAATTTGGCATGATGATAGCTTACATTCCCGATTAACATATAGGCATATTCTTATCTCAAAAATCCTTTCGGGTTCCGCCCCAGTGGCTCTGTAATTCCCCATGTTAACCTTTTGAGTATTCATATTTAAAGGGAATTAAAGAATTTAGTCAGCTGTTTCAACTAAAAAAGTTAGTTCTATGATATGGAAAAGCATTAAAAAGTTATAAGATTTACCAACAGGGTGCAGCACTATATTTTTTTGCATTTATGAAAACAGCTAATTTGAACTAAGCAGCAACAAAAAACTGTGATTCGCAATGAGAACTTCGCAATGAAACTGAAATTTAGGATTAATAACTTTCTATAACTTATCATGCATTTATTCATAAAATTATTAAAAATTTAATCCAGTAACTGAAAACCACTATTATTTAAAAAAAAATATGGTCAACGTGCCTGAATGTTTGTCTCAGACAATTATGCATATCACAAAGAGTAGTCCTATAATTGATGTACCTTAATGATATGTCTATGATAAATAAAAGTAGCCTATTTAACATTCATTTTCATAGACTGTAAAAGCCTTCTGCACTTTTATTATTCTGTATCGTATTACATAATGGGAAATTGTCCAATGATTAAATACACATGTATAACAATAATCTCGTGATGATCTGTCAGTCTTGAATAATAAGAAAAAATATCGGCAAAAGTAGTCAAAAAGGCAGACACCAACCAGTAGGCCTACAATAGATATATAACATAATGCAATAAGAAATGATTGAAAGAGTTACTGTAATATTAAGATTATATAATTGTTCGTAATGGAACGTTATATTGCTAAACATGACATTATACAGAAGAACATCAATTTTAAAATAAGAAAATAAGATCCTTATATATAATTCTGTAAGACAAGATTTTTACCAGGAAATTGTGGACGTCCAGAAAGTATGAGTAGGCTAATTAATGTAATTTTCATGTTCTATTTTAACCTTTTGATTAAGAATTATAAACAACGATGGAGGATCAATAGTAAACACTCCATTGTAAATAGGTACCGGTACAACAATACAAATTAAGGTGTATTATAAATATTTAAAACACGTTGGTCCACTGAATTTCTATACACTCTGTATATTAAAAGGTCGCCAAATGTGATAAAAACTGTTCATTTATAAGATTTCCAACCGTGTGATACACTACATATTGAGCTTTAAGTTTGTTTATGTACGCTTTAGTGGTTTGAATACAACAAAACATGGCGTCTTTAACGTTAAAAACATAGAAAGTCAACATGTTTAAAGCAAAAATTGTATTAATATTATTATTGTATACGACGGCGGATATTTGAACGCCTTCAATGTGAGGGACGCAATAGTTTATACTTTGGACCAAACGAACTCGTATTAATGTGTTGGACCAAACGAACTGTTTTACAACTGTTGGACCAAACGATTTTGGACCAAATGAACGGCAATATAAACGTACAGTATATTTCATAAGTTTACTCTACAATGCAACATTTTACTTCTAGTTTGGCCTGTACTTTTGGACCAAACGATTTTGGACCAAACGAACGTGTTTTTAACTGTTGGACCAAACGATTTTGGACCAAACGAACGAGTTTATAACTGTTGGACCAAACGATTTTGGACCAAACGAACGGCAATATAAACTGTGGACCAAACGATTTTGGACCAAATGAAATTGGATAAAACGATTTTGGACCAAACGAACGAGTTTTTAACTGTTGGACCAAACGATTTTGGACCAAACGAACGGCAATATAAACTGTGGACCAAACGGCTTTGGACCATTTGAAGATGATCCGATAAAACCGCAGATTAAGTTTTGCTCATTTGCATAGCCTGTCACTGAAAATTCACAATTTGAAAAGAAAACATCACAGTAGTTAGATGTCGGCCTAATCTGTTAATTATAATAAAATTTAAGTTCTATATTAGGTAATTAGATAAGCAATCTTTTCTTTAACCTAAATTATAAATAACACAATAAATTTACCTTGCATCAATCCTAAACTTTGCTGGGCGAAGCCAATTCTTGATTATAGTAGCAACAACATATATTTCCATTACACCACGATCCTAGTGTTCTTGCGTACCGGTTCTGCCTCTGTATAAAAGAGATTAGTATTAGCACTAGAATTTGTATATATTTTAATTTTCCTGATCAACACCCAGGATAGCCTACAACTAGGTACACATATTAAATTGTTAGTGAAATCTATTTTATATTTTGATGGCATTTGCTTCTTTTGAGTAGCCTTGTTAAAGCTAAATCTAAATCTGAAAATTGAAAATTTTGACCTAGGTAGTGGTAAAAGTAATCCTCAGTCACTTGAACGGACAAATATTGGGGTGAGCACTGACTGAAATGAGTGCAACGGTCGGATGTAGTTTGGTGTGTGTATAGGCCTATGTGTGCGTTTAAAAAAATTCAACTAATACAGTTTTCTTTTACACAAGTTAGCACTGCCAGAATATTTATATAGTGTAAATCAAAGACTTCCTATATAAGTGGGTCACAAAAAAGAGAAACTCTCTTAATTGTGTGATGAACCTTAGGCTACGTTATTACCCAATAGGTAGGCCTACCTATCATCAAGGACCTGCACACCCAAAGTCTTCAAAAAAAAGGTAACTGCTTGGCTTTTAGACAATCCCTTTTACAATACATATGAATATCTTAATACATGTATAGAAATTAGATTTTAGTTAGTCTTTATAGATATATGACAATCTGTTTTAATTAATTTCATTAATCATATGTGACAATGCCCATTTCATGTACATGATCAACGGCAAATAAATCATTTCATTTCATTTCATTTCATTTCATTTCATTTCATGAATTAGGTTGTGTTTTGGTGGTAGAGCCTAACTTATCTACAGTTCCTAAGAGAACCTGCGATATATTATCGGACGGTATATATATCTGATTTGATATTAATATTGCAAAACCAATTCACCAAATCTGCAAATCATAACTCAATTTGATGTTTACATAGTGAAAAAACATAGGGAACGATGTAAACTTATTGAATCGGATAATTATTGATATATAATGTTATTCATCCGATAATATATCGCAGGTTCTCTGCGGAACTGTACCCGTTATGGCAAAAAAGACATACACAGTCATGGCGAATCAAACAGAAAAATTGAAATAAAAACACCTAAGATTGAAACTTTATTTTAACTTATTTTAACTTTGAGAAAACCTAATTGAAATATATGTATGTCTACCTATTAATAATGTCTGATTGTAAATAAAAAAAAAAAACTTACGCAAGATAGCTGGCTTCAGATGCAGATTGCAAAAGAAAAATTTATTCCTCCTTCCCAGCCTACAGGCTGCTAGACAGCCACTTTGTCACTCGGGAGAATTGGTACCGTAGGCAAATTATTCACTGCTACCAAATAATAACTTCCACCAAAGCTGCAGAGTTATCAACTGAAACAATGGAGAGAAAACTACTTTTAGTTAAATTCATACATAGCCTACCTTTCTCTGGCCTAAATATGTATCAAGATTAGTTAGGCCTAATCATTGGTTGGTAAAGGAAGCAGACAACAACTAAAATACAAAAGACTAAGAGACAACACAGGGGTAGACTTTCGTATCTGTTGTCAAAAACAACCGAATGAAAATATCGATCGTTATAGCCTATGTTCATTCAGTTGTTTTTGACAACAGATACGGAAGTGTACCCCAATTCAGTTTAAAAGGAAAATGGATTTCAAATAGGCTAGGCTATTTCTTTTATAATACCGGTAAATTGTAACCTGGTTGAGGTAGAATATGTTAGGCCTAGGCTAGCCTAAATTAAGTTAACTTATTCTTGATGGTGAATTTACATAAACTTAAGTTAGTGACTGACGTAAAATATAACCCACATAACTTAGTAATATTTCAAAATTAGCCTAACAAGGTATTACAACACAGTATGGTATTCCATTTGCCTTGTAAACCAGTAAGTTACTTAGTCCTACTTACTAGCCTATATATTGAACACTATTTTCATCCGGAAGTTGCCCTTTGAAGCTAAATAAACTACTGGTTCAGTAAGAACTAAGCAAGCCGCCTAACTTAGTAGCTTACGCCTAGGCCTAATTAGTATGCAGAAAAATACTTCCTCTAAAACAGATTGCCTATTTTGAGGTTTCAGATTTATCTATTTATACTTAAGTTAAGGCATTAGGAATGATAAGCCAATTTTATTTTTTACAGTAGCTTAACTTAGGTCTAGGTAAGGCCAAGGCCTAAAATACGTCTATGTTACTAGGTATAGTGACTTATACTTACATACTCCAAGGATCAAAACGTGAAAAGATGTTCGGTGTAGGTTATGCCAATACCCAGTCACAAAAATAACAACTCTAAACTAACAGTGACACACACTAAACAAAATATCAGCACACTTAAGTTAACTGATTTGAGGTTATGTCTTGTTCTTGAATCTTGATACTCTTGTTGCTTCCATAGTTTATTTTCACTACTTGTGTCTAGGAGGATTAAACATTAAGGAGAGGGCACGCGAATAGGAATACACGTGTTGCGGTGAAGCCAGCTTTAGCAGAACACTAGAGGGGCACGCGGAGCCGTAGAGTGGCAAAAAGCCTCGGCTATAACATGGGAGAGATAGGGAAAAACGCGACGCGCGCTGTTTCGAATTAAAATTGCCGCTAAACTAAAACACCTGTGTTATTCACCGATGGCATTCTTAAAGTAAATTAAATTTCCTATCGAACGGTGTCAATCATTCCTATAAAAACTATTATTTATTATTTATTATTGAAGATCAAAGTTGAAAGAATTGACCTGGATTTTGAACATATGATTACTTTAATTACGTTTTTGAAAAAAATACGATGTATCTACACAAATTAACAATTTATTCGTGTTCCTTAAGAGTTTCTCGAAATAAAAAATATATATTTACCTATATTTAAAAGTGATATTTAGAAAAATAATTACAATAAAGTTTATTTTTTATTTTTCCAGTTTATAAAACAATCTTACTAATAATAGGTTAAAATGAAAATTTTAATTCGGGTGGTGAAATACTTTTTAAATTTGCATTTTTCATAGTTTTCTCGATTTGTTGATATCATTTTTTACTAGTTTTAAGTCATTTATGTGCTAGGCAGGTGATTTTAAATAGCCAAAGTTAAGAAAAAATGCAAAGCCGCTCTAACTTTTTTTACACCAACAGCCGTTACAATTAAATTACAATCATAAAAAGTAAAACAATTTCTTGGCAATCAAATTCTAGATTTTTTAAATATCATATTGAACTATATTTGATCTGTTTGCCCAAAGAAAATTCGAGTAAAAAAAGTAAATGTTCAACAATCTCGCGTCTTCTGACCGCCAAAGTGCGTTTATCATTCTTTTAAACGATCAAAACTTATTTTATTTCTCTTTAAGAAAATGTTGAAATACACATACACAGTACTACTCATGATTTAAGTTTTAATTTATGAACAGTAAAATCCATTGGTGATATGGCGGGATTTGAACCCGGGACCCCATGAACCGGAGTCCCGCGCTCTGGTTAGAGTATTATAAATAATACACAATACAAGTATGGCAAAAAATAAAAACAAGGGCAACGAATTCCAAAAAAAAGTCATCCTTGTGTAAATTACTCACCATTGAACGTACTATTGGTTATTGGTTCATAAATACGACTTTCCTCTTAATAGGTTCCTAATATTACGGTTAGAATTTAACTTTTTAATTTTCGTAGCATGATGAAGTCTAATTTTTAAATTGTTAATTGTTATTTATGTTACCAAATCTTCCAGTAACGCATACAACGCAGTATGAGAGGGGGGCGGGAGAGTAGCGCTGCCTCCCCCCCTCCCCAGTACGCTGGCTTCAACGAAACTACAGCGTGTCCTCTCCTTAATGTTTAATCCTCCTAGACTTGTGTAGCCTACTCAACAAGTTAGTTGTCATAGGTACATTTTACATAAATCGTGTACTTTCCCTCAAAATGGGCAATTTGTTGGTTAATAAATAAATAAATCCACACCGTGAGTAAACTGGCCACCACTGGTCGCGCGACGGATTTTGTAATTTGTTATGTATTGTAATGTTCTGTTCTGTTTCGTTTGCTGAGTTAGGTTAGAATTAAGTTGGTGTTTTGTCTTCAGTCTTCCTCTCTTCCTTTCATACGAATGGATGGGCCAAGTCAAGCTCAAACTAGATACTTAACATATTTTTAGAGTTATATTACACTTAAAAAAATTTAAATTTACGTTTGGTTTAATTTACTAGTAAAAATAAAATGATAAGGCCAATCGTTAAGAGTTTGACTTTTTTATTAATAAACAAAACTTTTAAAAAAAAACTGTGTTTCCTATTCACTCTTCTTGAAATGTGTAGTAAGCCTAGATTCAGAAAAATATCAGATGTTCCAACTCCAACAACTCCCCCCCCCCCGCGAAAAGTCAAAATCCATCATCAATTAATTAAAAATTACAGTGTTCAGTGTTCCTTCCTATTATTAATTATTTTGAGATAATTGACCTCCGACCTCCATGTTACAAACTGAGGCTGGGGACAAATTCTTTACTCTAAAAAATTTAAAAAGTTAAATCTAAAAATTTTTAAAACTAGTATATTTGGAAATTTTCAAAGAGAAAATCAAATTTTTAACATTAAGAATATTTAGATAATATTCTAAATTTGATGTTATTTGACTTTGATATTTTGAAGATACAATAAATATTCAAAGTTTGACATTGTTTGACTTTGACATTTTGAACATTAAATGAATATCAAATAAATATCAAATTTTTGATTTGACATAGTTTGATATATTGAACGTTTATTTGATATCAAATAAATATTCTGTGCTATGTGGGTTGGTTCTTTTAAGGCTAAGTGCAGAATGAATGGGAAGTAGGCTAGACTAACCAGAGTGTGGTAGAAGTAGTAGGCTATAGTTCGATTCCTACTACGGTCGGTAGGCCTAGGTCTAAGTTGAATAAGAATAAGAATAAGAATATTTATTTTCCTTTAGACAAGTACATGCATTTGGAATCGTCATAATAATCACAAGGCAAATTCAACAATTAACATGCTTCTACAACACTATCAAAATTTCTACAATAAATAAATAAATATATAATAATAAATAATCACTTTATGTTCACAACTAAAACTAAAAGATGCAAGGTCTAATAATTACACATGCAGGTCAAATAAATATCACATGTCAAGAGTCAAAACTTAAAAATAGGTACTTACGGATGCTGCTGGTATATTAAAAAAAATCATTCCAGGAATACAGTGGGTTGGCCAATATAAGAAGAAATTAGGTGGTAAGTTAAGCTTAACCTAAGTACCAGTAACTTAGCCTAAAGTACTAACTAGGCATGAAAGTGTAGCTTAGGCAAATTCTGGAACATCAAAGATGTCTGAACAAGCCTTGTTTTTAACTAGACTAGTCTCAAAAAATTAACATAAAACGTAGGCTAGGCCTAGGCATATAACTTAACTTAACTTAGTTAGTCATAATTCTTACCCATGATAAACATATGGATGGCCAGAGAACCGTAGCACCATTTGATTTCGCACTTGTCATTGTAATAATAACTTACGCTTAGGCCTATGCTACTAGGCTATTTAGCTTTACGATTTAAATTTTTAAGTCATATATATTGTAAACATTTGACGCAATTAAGCATTAGGCCTCCTGCACAAATAACACGACACGGATTAGGCCTACTCTGTCATTAAATTATTTTAACTCAAACCAAATAAAAAATGTTATAGTAGGCCTAAGTTAATAAATGCGACCACCGAACGCTAAAACACAACAGTATCCTACGACACACAACGAATCACACGAAAACAATATTTCTTGTTTCTGTTTTCTGTTCTGTCGGTCAACAATAGATTTAAATTCAAATTATTTTATTGTTGATGTTCCATGTCCATGGAAGAATGAAATTAAATTAGAATTACAACAATTAATAATTGAGAAAGCCATAAAAAGTCTGGTAGGCCTATCTGTTTGCAGCAAAGAGGAAATTCAGAAAGGGATTTAGAATACACTCTTGTCATGTCATTGATTATAAGGCAATCTAATGTTTAATATTAATAGTATTAAAAACATGTTGTGTTTTATTTGTTTATTTTATCATCTATATAAAGCTAGGATGTATTTGAACTTTTGAGGAAACTGAAAGCCGTACACATATCAACCCATACTGAATGAAAGGGTTGGTTTGAAAATCCCCAAAAATGTCAGTTTTATCGGTAAACCCTCTCTAGGCGAGGAACATCAATTAAGCAGGAACGTCAATAAAAGGGATATTATATCACATCTATATAAATAAAATTACAGTTTTGTCTGTACATTGCTTAGAATCATGCAGTTTTTGGTTATTTTTACGTTTCATAGCCTAAGAAAGCCGAAACGAGTCTTATCTCAATTTCTGTCTGTTTGTCTGTTTGTCCATTCTGTGACTCCGTCTGTAACGCCAAAATGTCATTTTACGTGGCCTACTCCTAGAAAGCTAGAGTACCGGTCAAGGTTCTAATCATTTTTCTGTATTTACTGGATTGGTGAGAGTGTCTTTGGCTATAAAAACATGGCCTCGCTTCTTTGAAAACAAAATAACGAACCACCAAAAACCCAATTTTGTTCGATTTTTGTCAAATTTGTTCCCAATGTTTACTATTGCATTTTATGAAATAACGATCAGCTGTTTGGATTAGTTCTCACTTCTAGCTGTCACTGATATGTTTACATTAAAAGTTTTTACGCCACACTATATTATTTTGACGAACTTCCCACGCAAGTATTTAGTCCTGAAAACAGCTGTTTGCCGCCAGGTTATTCAAATGGGGTTTCATTGCGTACTACTGTACTGTAATGAGTTTTGCCGGACACCAATCAGCTGATTGTACTGTATTTAGTATTTAGGTGGCAATGAGTGGTTATAAACAAAAACATAACCTCTCATTGACTAGTGGTTTTTAGTCCTTTAGTTGGTGGAAATATATAAGGATTTGTACAGATTTAGTAGTATGGCGTAAACTATCGTACGTAACTCGTCCAAAATGTGTATACCGGACTAGTATGGTAATCCCGTACTCGACTTCGTCTCGCACGGGAACAACCACACTCGTCCGGTAAACACTTATTTTCAGGACTAGTAACGTAATATACTATTACCAAATACCGCAACCATTTCCGATCAAGTTTTGTCAGCACATCCAAACCAAGTGAGATTAAAAACGTTGTGCCTTAACCGGTTTAATTAATCGCAAATGCAACGATTGTTCTTGAGTTTTGATAACCGGGGAAAATACCTTATTACCTTATTGCCTTATTACCAAAGCTGCGTTGTTGACCAGCATAGCTGGATAAACTGCGTCAATTTTTTTTTAAAATATAAATATTAATTATTTACAACAAATAAAACTTTTATCTTTCAAGAAAATAAATTTGAAAGTTTCAAAAATAAAAATAAAAACTTGGCGGGTGACTACGGAGGTGATTGTGCACTCTACCATTTGTCCTCAAAATACTCTCTCACGGAGTAGGGAGTCATACCTAGGTCCACCGCGGTCAATCTCCCCCGCGCTAGTTTCCGCAAGGTCTGCGGCCGGCGGAGCATGAGACCAACAATCCCTCCCACTTGCCTCTGAGTCGCACAGTTTGGTTTGGCCGACCAAACCAAACGGTGCGGCGGACAACTGGAGACCAACTGGAGACTACTTCACTCGTAACTACGCCTGCAAAATGTAGGATACTTTACCAAAGCACTGCTGTATTGCGGGCTGACTAATGAGACCGTTTTCTGTAAAGTAGTAATTGTACAAATTACCGTACACTTGCTTGGCTACGAGAAAATAATTATTCAATTGTCATATCTATTCCACGATTATTAATGGTTTTGAAATCCATACACCACTTTACTCACTAATATTAATGGTACAGATTAAGCACATAACATTAGAATAATAATTCACTTTAAACACAAATGCAAATTGTTAACGACAACATTATTACATTTATTCATTAAAGACAAATCAATCAAATAACAATAAGCCGTTTAATTACTAACACAAAAGGTTTCGTATGATTAGATTATGCATACTGATAAACCACCTATGGTCATCTATAATAATATTTATTTGGGTTTTCTTTTCCGAGTCGGGTTAGCTCTTCTACTCGGCCGATTTTCATAATTTTGGCCTCAAACTAAAGGTATGGACGCACTACAGATTTGCAATCAAGAATCGGCATTCATTTTTATTGACGTATATTTCGAGTTATGCAAAACTCATAAACTAACTCGTTCATAAACTAACCTCATAGTTCTTAGAATATTTGTATATTCAACCAGCTGTTAGTTATAACAAATTATATTGCACTAAAACAAACTAAAGATTTTATAGACTGTTGAAAAAATAAATTAGAACATCTATTATTTTAATTTTACTTTGTACTAGCTGTTCTACGTACGGGAATCTTGTAGTAAGTTGAAACCTTATATTCAGAACAGGAGTTGGTCTGCATATTTAGTGTGCATTTTTCCAGATATGCTAGCAAAACTATTACTGTATAGGAATACATATAATCCTTCGCAAATACAATATCTGACAGTTTCAAAGCCAGAACGAATGCTTCGCAATTAAATGTCACCCGATCGTGTTAGTCCATATTTTATATCTAATGATAAAAGGAATTGCTTTATAGATCTATAGCCCTATAAGGTAGACCTGTAATTGAAAGTTACTTTTCACACTGATTAAAAAAAGTTAAAAAAACTACCTCAACCAAAAACTACTGCACACTTTATTCGGGTTGAAATTTTCAATAACAAAGGTGCTCTTGTCTTTTCCAAGAAACACTGAGAAATAAGGACATTAATGCGCTACCAACAGACATACACACACAATAGCAGTTAGGGGATTTGCTACGCTTTAACCAAAGCAAATTACAAACAAAATAATTATTTGAAAGTTTTGATAGTGTCATCAAATATTATGATAATCGTTTTTAGGCCTAATCAAACTGTAAAATTTGTGTAAATCCGTTGGTAAATATATAAATAAGTAAATAAATACACAGTCCACAAAAAATTTATTCGTTAACAACGCCAAGCTTTAAAAATTCATGATGGTTTGCTAAAAAATCTTTCAATAATGTTTTATCATTTCATAGCATAAACTAACATTTTGGAGTCCAGACAGAAAACGCAAAAATTATACAGTAGGACATCAATTAAATTTAATAAGAAATAAGGTGCAGCACTAACGATAACTATAGTTGTAAATAGTGATGTGTTTCTACATAAAAATGATTCTTACTGCTACCACCGGTTCTAAGGAAAAGTAGCAGTACCATAAACCAACGTTTACATTTAAGAAAAGAACTATAGTAGTTGCAACCAATTCAAACTGTCATTCTAATCAAACTGTTTTATATAGGTTTTAATCCGTTGGCAAATAAATAAATAAATAAATACACAGGCCACAAAACATGTAACATGTAACATTAACAACGTAAAGCTTTAAAACTCACTATGGTTTGCTAAAAAAAAACTTTCACTTGATGTGGTGCAGTACCGAAGTTATTAATCTCCCTTGGTTTTAAATGTCTTTTAAGTTTTCGAGAATCAAAGTTATTTCCCAATAATAGCATTAATTGTAAGCAACTTTCAATGTTAACATATTAATGACAGTTTGAAGAAACCACCTTTATCCAAACAAAGGTTTCTTATGTAAAATATTACGTAATCTCTCTCTAAACGATAATTGGTACATATATCTAGCAAACATTCGGAGGAAATGTGACAAAAAACGCACAAATCTGGGGTTTTGGACGTTTGTAGTTTTACTTCCTAAGTAGGAAAAGTACCGATATCCAAAGATATAGCCAAAGACACTCTCACCAATCCAGTAAATACAGACAAATGATTAGAACCTTGATCGGTACTCTAGTTTTCTAGGAGTAGGCCGCGTAAAATGACATTTTGGCGTTACAGACGCAACCACAGAATGGACAGACAAACAGATAAACAGACATACAGACAGAAATTGAGATAAGACTCGTTTCGGCTTTCTTAGCCTATGAAACGTAAAAATAACCAAAAACTGCATGATTCTAAGAAATGTACAGACAAAACTGTAATTTTATTTATATAGATGGGACCGCGTCTCGTTGTCCCTCCGTCTCGTTGTCCCTCCGTCTACTTGTACCTCGAGGCCTAGGGACAACTAGTCGTAGGTACAACAAGACGTAGGTACAAGTAGACGGTGGCTCACCCGACTAGTTGTACCTGCAGATTTTTAGGAGGTACAACTGGACGTAGGTACAAGTAGACGTAGGTACAACTAGACGTGTATCCCACCGACAAGTAGTATCACCTAGCTTGTACGGATGCGACCAGTTGTCCCTACGACTAGTAGTCCCTACGACTAGTAGTCTCTACGACTAGTGGTCCCTCCGTCTAGTAGTCCCTACGTCTAGTTGTACCTACGCGTATTTTGCGTCCTTATAGTCTAGTTGTATCTATCCTTCAATTCGTTACCCTGTTTAATTGATTACTGCACGAGTACTTTTTAATAATACCCTTAATTAAATCAGGAACTGCAGTGTTCCGAGTCGATTGAGTATGATTGGCAAATATTTTTCACCGCCATACGATGTTTTAGTAGTTTTACAGACGTTAATTGGAGGCTGAAAGCTACGCATTGCTGTCCAGGGTCGAAATAGCAGCTATAGTTGTGATTAAAATTTTCCAGCCCTAGTACCGAAAATCGCTTGTTTAATTAAAACATTTATATATATCATTAAATATACA